TATATTGGTAAGTTTACAAAAGCTGTCTAGAGACAACACCTCACTTAATGATGATTGTAATGGGTGTTTTAACTAGAGTAGCCATAGAACAAAGGTAGTATCTACTTGCTGTCTCCACCAGTACCAACAGAGGCTAGAACATGAGGGCTCTTAATAGGTTTTGTTTGTTTGTTTGTTTGTTTGTTTGTTTGTTTGTTTTTGAATGACTAAAAAACCAGACAGGCACCAGATTGCTAAAAATACAGAGCCTTGCAGCATTCCTCAGACCATACTATGCATAGGACCCATCTCAGAGGTTCGTGTTGCCAGGCTGGGGAGATGGCTGTGACATATAAGGGTTCCCAGCCTGTTTCCTCAAGGGAAGAAGTGGTTACTCACCCAGTGCACAAGCGCTGCAAGGGCATGGCAGAGCATTTGGGCAGAAGGTATTAAGAGAACATTTCTCAGAGGTGTTTTCTTCCCCTGTATTTAAAGACCAGCCTGGTAGCAACTATCAAAGACTCGTAGGAGCAGCCCTGTTTGGTCTTAGAACCAAAATGTTTTGATTCGCTTATTTAATGATTTCTGTCCAAAATAAGGCCTGTCACTACAAGTTGCATTGAATCTGCAAAGGCATTGAGTTATGCCTGCTCTTTTCTGTTGTGAAAGCATATTTTTAATGGCAACTTATCTCCATTTGTTGTGCTCACTCACAGTCACTCAATAACAGAGAAACAAATGAGCCAGAGATCACATCAGAGCACCCGAACCCTTGTCTCCTGATGTTTGTCTTAGTGATCTTTGGAGAAAACTGAAGTCACAGGAAGAGGTAGAATGAAAAGACCACATGCCATTCTGGCCAAAGCTGAGGTTGGATTGAGGACAGATGGTTGGCGGGTCAGAGATCACCAGGTTTATTGCTGTGAGATCTGGGCATCTCCAATGATGAGCAAGATCATTTGAGTCACACGTTATAGGTTAATAATTATATAGTTTATTTTAAAGTGTTAGAAAAACACACACTGTCACTTCACAGGTATTATTAACACTTAAGACGAAGCTAGAGTAATAGCATATGTTAAAAATGAATTGACTTAAGGACAGCAGTAGGTAAATAATAGAATAGCTGTCTGCAGCCAGGACCGAGCTGGTAATGAAGAGAGCTCATTTTACATTATTTAATTCCTTGAATCCCCCCAATAGCTCAATGAATTAGGCATCCCTGAGGCATGGAAAGATTAAACATAGCCAATACATAGCTAAGCCAGAATTTGAACCTAACCTGACTCAGGAGTGTGAGCTCTCATCTCTGCACTCCACTGTCTCTCAAAAATAAAATAATAGCACAAATAGCAAAAACAAAGCCTCTTTGCCCTTGCAACCTGAGACCCAACTCCACACATCTGTGCACTGGGGGAACCCCACTGGGCCTCTGTTTTTAGGTCTATGAGGTATGATCAGGCATCAGAGAGGCATCTTCAGAGGCAACAGGTGTTGGCCTGGATTTGCCACGTGACCTAGAGCCGGCACCGCCCCCCCCACCAGAGGGTAGCTTCCATGAGCTCCCTTCCCAGTGTCACACATGGCACTGCTTCATGGAATCCAACCCTCTGCTTGGCTTCAGGCAGAGCCCCCAAGTTCTGTGATGCCCGGCAGTGTCGGATGCTGGGCAAACTTCATGGCAGCAGCAGGGCCCAAGGACACCCACCTTCCCACGCCCCAGGTTAAGCAGAGCCTTGCCTGACAAGCTGAGCTGTTGGGGCCAAATTCCAGCAGCAGTGGACTATCCCTGAACAACTTAAGCAAAAGGATGACAAGGTCCCTTGGGTGGAGAACAGATTGGAGGGCAGCCAGGGTCAGATGGGAGAGAACAGGAAAGCAGCACTTAAAGATGTCCAGGAAAGGATGGCTTGGACCACAGAGGCTGTGATAGAGGTGTGAGCAGAGTCGAGAGATGTTTAAAGGTAAATCTGGGAGGGATTTAATGCTTAAGCAGTGGCTGGCTATGCAAGGAGATGTTCACATTTCTGGCTTGCGGCCTGGGAGGATGGTGACACCATCACCCTGTGGGAGGCTTGGCTGAGAACCCTTTCCTCCTTCACAGAGCATTCTAGGAACGGCCTGGCAGATGCCTTCTTTTCCTTGATAAGGAGAAGGAGTAGTCCAGGGGCATAGCTAACTGCTTCATCCCTCTCCATTACTGGTTATCCTCGGCAGGGCAGAATGGGCTCCTGCTGTGGGGAGAGCAGGGCTCCACTCCCTGTCTACCAAACATGTGGTTACAAATCGATGCAGATGGCTCTGGAGGGGTGGCGCTAGGGCTCAGTGAGACAGATCCATGCAGTCAACTTTCTTTTTTTTTTTTAAGATTTTATTGGGGAATTGGGGAAGGGGAACAGACAAGTTGCTGTAGTTTTGTTCTTCAGTCTAGTTGTGGAGGATGTCGCCCCACCAGCCCAAGCCGGCACCATCACTGCGCTCCTCCTGGGTGAGGCAGATCAGTCGCCGGCTTCTGGATGACCGCTCACAGTGGCTGCTGGCCGCCAGCTCACGCTGGCTGCCGGCCACACATGGTAGCCCATGGCAGCCCACTGCAGCAGGGGACTGCAACCCACACCTTCACTGGCGACCCCATGGCAGTCCAGCTCCAGGTCCAGCTGCCGTTCAGCATCTTAGCTGTAGAGGGCAGTGTCACTGGCCCTCATATGTGGGAACCGAACCGGAGCCTTCTGGCGTCCCAAGCCAGTTCCCAACCAATGTGCCACTTGGCCGGCCCCGCAGTCAACTTTCTTGAACGTGGTTCTGAGCTTGCTGAGCAAGTTGGTGTGCCTGACCTTTAGGCTGGGGACAGCTCCTTAGTGGAGGGAACTGGTGATCCCCTGATAGGGTGGTGATGGGCAGTGAAGGAGGTATAGGGTGGTCCTGGGCGGGGAGGCTCTTGCATGCCTTTGTACACCTTGGTGGTATATGGCTTGTTGCAAAATATGTTGTTTGCTCTCATCGTTTGAAAGGAAAGGCCAACAAAGTAATTTTTGAAAAAGGAAGAAAAAAAAGGTCTGAACAGAAGGGTAGCCAGTTGGATAGTTAAAGAGGACCTTGGCTCAGCTTGGGGTTCAGGGTCAAGGCTCAGCCTGGGTCAGGACTCAGTTTTGGCCTCTGCACACAAGTGCACAGCTACAATACCTCACACACATACACTGTCAGCAGAAGCCCAGGCAGGAAAAGGCCCTGCCACCATGTCCTTGATCTGTCTGCCCTCATAGCCCCTGCGTGGACCAGGGGATGCTCACCCTGCTCTTGTTTCTTGGGTTCCAGGTGTTGTGGAAATAGTTATCCATGGTCCACGCTTCCCCATGCCTGGACCAGGACTTCAGGCAAAGGCAGTGCCCCTGCCTGCATAAGGCCTGGGCTAGAGTTGGTCCAGCCAATCCAACAGGTGGATGCGCCCATCTCTCCTTCCTCCCATCCACCCATCCATCCATCCATCCATCCATCATTCCAGCATCTTTTGTTGGCATTCTCAGGGGGCAGGGATAAGTATTTGATAAGAATTTAATAAGACAAGACACCTGGATTTTGAGTATAAAGGAAGTTTTGTGAGGTTGTGGGGGACCACATTGCCAAAGGCAGTGGGGAGCCATTGAAGGTTTTTGAGCAGGAGAGGGTCATGGCTCAGTTTCTATGGTAGAACAGCCACTCTCCTGTGTGGAGAGGGAGGACTGGAACAGGCATCAGGGCAAGGAGGCTGCTGTGATGGGACTGGAACCTCCTCTGTGGGGATGGTTTGGAAGTTGGAAAAGGGAGGATTCTTCTGCTCCAGTTTGGTCTGTGTCACATGCCAAGTTCTTTGCTGCCTCAGTCCCTTTATACATGCTGCCTCCCCTGCCTGGAATACTTCCCCGTGCTATCACAGTGCTAGCTCCTTCTCCTCCTTCTGGTCGCAGACTCAGAGAAGCCTTCCCTGGCCTGTCTAAAAAGTTCGCCCTAGTTACTATCTATGAAAGCACCTCCTTCCTCTCCTGTACTTACTTATCAAATTTATGATCCTATATTAGTTGTTCCTTTTTGAGGACAGGGACCATATCTGCTTTATTCACTAGTGTTTTACTGGCTGTCTGGCTCTGTGCTTGACATAATGCCAGCAATCAATAAATATTTATTGAATGAATGTATGAATTATTTAATTAATTAATGGAATGCCTACATAATAATAGTCATCATAATATAGATATGAGGTTGCTATCACACTTGTACAGTTGACCCCTGAACAATGTGGATCTGCGCTCTGCTTAAACGCGTTTATTCAAGGGTCAGCCATATTTTTGATCCACGGTTGATAATCCATGTATGCGGAAGGCCAACTTAAGTGACATGTGGATTTTCAACTGCACAGGTGGTCGGTGCCCCTAACCCCAGCCTTGTTCAAGGGTCTACAGTCTGTATGCTTTCTAAGCATTGATCCTCACAGCATCTGCCAAGAAAGTGAGGTAGGACTTGTCCCCAAGTAGCCTAGATAGAAACGAATACGCCGAGTTGTGTCTTGTCCATGCCCCAGCTGATGGGAAGACTTGGATTATGGGTTGGTATGTGCGTCCCAGACTCTGTCTACCACATCCTTGCATTGCTCCTTCAGGCCCAGAGGACATGGTCACCCTGCTGCCTGGCCAGGCCAGTTCAGACCACCAAACGAATTAGATTACACATCTCTTGTCCTTGTAGTAATTATTTGTACTTCCTTAGCATGACGGCCTGACTCATATCTAACAGGGAGACGTGTCTGTCTTAGCATGTGTAAAGACACTGAGGCAGCAAGAGCTTGGCATATTTACGGCTGGAGTGGGGATGAGGAGGGAGACTTGTACCTGGGTCTTACTCATTTCTGGGTCCCCATGGAGGGCACAGAGCTCTGGGCACAGAGCACGTGTTCGTGGCTCGTGGCATGAATCAGGCCCCTGGCCCATTCACTTGGCCTTTACGGGACATGGAGCTCTAACCCTCTCTCCCCTCTGCTCTGACCCCAGCGCCTACACAGAGCCCTACAAGGTCTGTCCCATCTCGTCAGCGGCCCCCAAAGAGGACCTGACATCGGATGAAGAGCAGGGAAGCTCGGAGGAGGAGGACAGTGCTGCAAGAGACCCCAGCCTCCCCCACAAGGTAGGGGCCCCCACCCCGGCCAGTGGGATGTGGGCGATGTCGGAGATGTGAAGGTGGAGAGACTGTGGTAAGGACCCACTCCGTCCTCTCTTGATGTGGAGGGAACTGTTGACAAACAACAGACCATGTGCTGGATACAGAGGCTGCATCACAGAGTAGCTGGGACTTCGGCTTTAAGACACATGACAGACATGGGGGCCTGTGTTGGTGATGCAAGGGTGACTGCTCCTGCTTATGTCTTCTTGGGTCTGAGAAAGCTTGGGGCTCCCCAGAGCCTTTGTGGATCAATATGGACCTGTATTCTAATGACCTAAGGCCCCTGGGCCTCAGTTTCCTCATCTGCAAAGTGGAAATCATGAGAGTGAGATGAGTTAAGGGATGTGAATGAGTTCCCTCAACTGAAAACAGAGCTCTAGAATAAAAGTTGGTTTTTCCATACCCTGCAGTGATGCAGCGAGGGGATGGGGCTGAGAGAAGGGCTGCTACTTGCTTGTCTGGAGGCAGAGGGTGAATTGAGACCCAAGTCACAGAGGAGACCCAGGCCTTCATATGGTGCATTGGTGCATGGTGGTAATTACAGTTGTCCCTTGGTATCCAAGGGGGATTGGTTCCAGGAGACCCCACCACACAGATACCAAATCCTTGGTTGCTGAAGTCCCTTATATAAAATGACATAGTATTTGCATATAAGATATAGCAGGTCATGCCTACACATCACTTCATTCAAGTGGATTCTGCATAGTGTTCAGCATGTCGCAAATTCAAGTTTTGCTTTTTGGAACTTGCTGTGATTTTTTTTAAATATTCTTGATCCGCAGTTGGTTGAATCCAAGGTACAGATGCTTGCTATTGGGTGCTCATGGTGAGCCCTGCTTCACTTCCATTCACTGACATGATCTCATTCCTTCCGCACACCACTTCTAGGAGCCAAGAATTGCTTCCCCCACTTTACATTTGCAGAAACAGAGAGGCAAAGAACTTGTTCAGGGTCACACGGCTGCTATTCACTGTTACTCAGGAAACATCATAGGTTGACGGGGGCCAGGAATCGAGACCACGGGAGACACCCCTGCTAGAAGAGGGGACAGGCTAGGAAAGTTGAGACCCGCTTGAAGTTCTCCCCACCCTGCCTCCTGGGCTCCACTCCTGTCTGCCTGAGGGGAGTAGCTGGGGAGGCAGAGGAGCACCGCCTCCTACCGGGCAGACCTTCAGGCACCTTGTCCTGTGTCTGCCTCCCACGCTTCGTCATCTTCTCCTTCCAAGCCTGGGTTAGGGATGTCACGTTGATTAAATACCATTCATGTAGAAGCACTCAACAGGAGTGCCTGGCACTTACCAAGCATTTTATAAATGGTTGTGTCTTTCATTTTTCTTTTATACCCTTGATTTCTTTTTTTTTTTTTAATGATTTTATTGGGGAATTGGGGGAGGGAACAGACAAGCTGCTGTCCTTTGGTTCTTCAGTCTAGTTGTGGAGGACGTCACTTCACTGGCCCATGTTGGTATTGTGATCATTGCGCTCTTCCTGGCTGAGGCAGGGTTGCCGGCCATTGGACGGCCACTCGGTGGCTTACAGCAGCTCATGCTGCCAGCTGCTCACACTGGCTGCCGGCCACTCGCGGTAGCTTATGGCAGCCCCACTGCAGCCTGCGCCGTCTCCGGCAACTCATGGCAGCCCAGCTGCAGGTCGAGCTGTTGTTCACCATCTTAGCTGTAGAGGGAGCAGCATCATTGGCCAATATGGGATCTGAACCAGCGGCCCTGCTGCTCAGAGCCTGCGCTCCCAAGCCAGCTCTTAACCAACGAGCCACTCAGCTGGCCCCACCCTTGATTTCTTTTAAAACTTCATTTATTGACCCATACAGTCTTTTCATAAAGTTACCTAGTCGGTGCTGTGGGAAGGCTGAAGGAGACTTTCCCACACAGCTCCCCATCTCCCCTTCCCCTTTCACTCTTGTCCCTGCTTCTCCCTCTCTAGATAGTGAGCTTTCTGCTGGCAATAAATGCTTCCATGTTTGTTATCCGTTTTACTCCTTACAACAACTTCCAATGTCAATACCATCATCCCTGTTTTACAGTGAGGACACAGAGGTTCAGTGAAGTGAAGTAACTTGCCCAAAGCCACACTGCTAGTGATTGAAGGGGCCTGGACTCAGAAACAGGTCTGGCTGGCTCCAAGCCCAGCGCTTGTTTCTCATTGCAGTCCTGGGGGCCTCCTCTTACCTCTCCATTTCTCCCTCCTCTCCCAGGAAGGAATTATTGACTCCTTGGGGATAAGGGAGAAGGTACCTATTTAGAGACTGTTTTGGTTTTTCTGGGCATCCCTGGGGTCATGGAACCTGGGAACAGAAAGAAATAGCTGTCATTGGGGATGTGGTCCCCACTCTGAACATGGATTCCAAATCGGATCTGGGTACCAGGCCTAGAAGAGTTGAAAGGCTGATGGAACGGTGGGGCCTCTCATGTGTGACTTTCTGTGCTTTGGTCTCCCACCTCGTGATGGCTTCCTGTCACAGTCACCAAGTTCTCTGTTAAACCTTCCCCCAGCTGTGTTACCACTGGCTAGTCGCTTCCCATCACGGGGCCTCGGCTTCCCCATCTCTAAAATGGGAGCATTAATAGTAACTGCTAGGCTGTGGGAGGGTTGAAGGAGAACACTGATGGAAAAGTGCCAGCCACATAGTAGGGGCATATTAACTATCTGTTGTTTCTGAGTCTGGGAGTCAGCGGCAGGGAGTAGGAAAAGAGAAGGTCTGGCCTACCCAGAACCATTGTAAATCCTAGGCCCCTGGACATTTGTGGTTATCTGGGTCAGCTCCCCAGCCTTCTGGTCTCCAGGCCACGGCTTAGACACCCCCAGGAATAAGGAGCTTGCGAGAGGTAGAGTAGCATAGAAAATGAGAGTTTCCTACCCAGCTTTGCCACTGGCTAGCTGAGTAATGTGATCAACTTCTTAACCATTCTCTTCCTCAGTTTCCCCATCTGTAAAATTAGGAAAACAACCATAGTACCTGCTTTGGAATAGCTATGAGAGTAAATAAGCCTGTGGAGACTTAGAACAATGCCGGACACACAGGAAAAGAACACGCAAAGGTCAGCGCTCTGGGGCAGGACTGTGGCCAAGACAGGGAAGCAGCCTGCCCCAGGTCAGGTAGGACTCAGTAACAATGCCAGGATCATGGAACTGAGGCAGTTTCTGCCTCTTACATGTCCTGCTGAGGCCAGAGCCAGTGGCCAGCCAGGTGTGGGGCCTACATAGGGAGAAGGGTCGGGGAGGGGAGCATCCTGTCATTCTGAGCCAGAGGGACAAGCGTGGGTCTAGACTCCACCTGGCAGGCCGATTCACTCTCAGGAGCCCTGATTTCTCGTCTGCCAAGCGGGGCTAAGCGTCCCTGCTCTGCCACCCCTCTCGTCCTTTTTTATAAGGCCTTCATCATGTACCGATGTTGAAATCATCTTTAAAAATTAAGTTTTCACCCCATGAGGTGTGCTTTACTAGATTCTCCCCATACAGTGTGAAATCATTACAGGTGTACGTTCAAGTCCCTTGGAACGCGTCTTGCCGATCCCTGTGCCCTCATGGAGGTCACGGTGGCATGCTGTTTAGTGTGAATTCGTCCACTTTCCCCCTGTATTCACCTACATATAGCATTGTAAGTGGTAAATGGGTGGTATTGTTTGTGGAGTTGTTATTTTTCCATAAATCATATCAAACTATAAGAAGCCTGGGGTAATTTGGTTGGGTTCATTCACTAGATTATTCATAGAGATTTTCCCATATTGGTATCTATGAGTAGAGCCCTAGACTAATTTTTTAGTGCCTCACAGTATTCCATGTTATGGATAAGCTGTGGTTTATTTCGCCATCTCCCGGCTGAGGGATATTGACAGTGTTTTTCATGTGTGTGCATCACCAACGGCATTACAGTGCCCCTGTTTACCCACCTCCTTAGACACCTGTGTGAGGTTTTTCTCTAGGGTAGATCCGAGAAGGACATCAGTGGATCAGAGAGCAGGACCCTTTTCAATCTTTGGACCTGCTGCTATATCGACCCTCAAGAGGCTATTCCCGAGCACCGCCTGGCAGCCCTCAGTGTAAAAGAGTTCCCAAGTTGCTGGGCCTCAGAGCAGCTGTGAAGGGAGATTTCCAGAGTGAGCAATCTTTCCTGAATCCTTTTTGCTGTAGAAGTTTGGTGGAACAGGAGGTGGGGAGAAGATGCATTTACTCCTGATTCTTTGTCTTCCACTGTGTCTGAAAATTCTATTGCTCGAAAAACGTAGAAACCTCTTCTCCCTGTGCCTCCGTCCGTCATGGGGAAAATGGGAACCAGATTTCCCATTTCCAGCCCCTTCACAGGAATAGGCTTAGAGCACATGTGAGTAATCAGAATTACCCCCGTGTCTCAGGAGGAAGGTTTGGGGGTGGGGAGCCCCACCCTTCTTACAGCTTGATATGGTTGATGTAAAAAGAAATAAAGGGTAGTGAGCCCCACCCTTCCCAGATGTTTTGGGGTGACCAAGTCAGGAAGGGAGAGATTTTCAGAGCAGGATAGGAAGCTGAGCCCAGCTGGTCCACCCACATGTGACCTCTCCCTCTCTTCCACTCATAGACATACAAAGGGTGTGGGTTGAAGGAAGGAGGGGGCAAAAAAAGGAAAAGTGAGAAGGACTTAAAAATAGACCAAGCTGTGAAAGGAGACATTCAAAGGCTGGCTGGCCTGTCGCTCCTCCCTGACAATAAACCCGGTTCTCAGACTAACAGGGAATTTTTAAGCTCAAATACCAGCTCCCCCGAGACCAACCCACTCCTGGCTACCTCCTCCCTTGCCTGAGGCTCATCATCACCATGTTTCCCTGACAGGCCCACCCCTGAGCCCAGGCAGAACTTAGCGCCCTGACTTCTAGAACCGACCCTCCCGCCATCAAACCCTCCCTGGCTCCCTATTTATGAAGCTCATCTCTTCCCTGACGGCACCTGGGGTCCAGTCGGCTTGGCCTGG